TTTCTAATTATTGCTCCCACAGTTGATTTGTTCACACCAAGCTGCTTGCCTATTGCAGATTCAGTCTTCCCAGCCTGGTGCAGGTCTACAATTTTGTTTCTGGTGTCCTTCGACAGCTCTTTGGTCTTCACCATAGTGGAGTTTGGAGTGTGACTGTTTGAGGTTGTGGACAGGTGTCTTTTATACTGATAACAAGTTCAAACAGGTGCCATTGATACAGGTAATGAGTGCAGGACAGAGGAGCCTGTTAAAGAAGAAGGTACAGGTCTATGAGAGCCAGAAATCTTGCTTGTTTGTAGGTGACCAAATACTTATTTTCCACCATCATTTGCAAATACATTCTTTCCAAATCAGCCAATGTGATTGTCTGGATTTTTTTTCTCATTTTGTCTCTCATAGTTAAGGTCTACCTATGATGCCAATTGCAATATATATATATATATATATAAATATATTTTTGAAATATATTGAATACGGCCAAAATTGTAGTATTTCAAATATATGTCAATATATTTGGGAAGATTATTTTTAAAATATATTTTTCTTCCATGTGGGTGTCTTCAAAAATCCCTTGTTTCTGTACTTGTTCTCAACACTGATTTTGGGGATGTGGTGCTTATAGTACCCATTAATCTATTTTGTATACTATATTTAGGTGTATATGTGAATTTACAAAACATTTTGTGCTGGGATATGGATATGCTTCTTAAGGGCTCATTCCAATGACTTTGTATTAGCCAAACAAATCAATTTCATTCAGTTAAATGCTTGCTTATAGAAAAGAAGTTCTTTGCCATGAGCAATCAAATTGTGTAAAAAAAAAAAGAAATACTGATCACTTCCCCAAAGTAGTACAATGTTACTATGGTAACATTATACTACTTTGGTCATAGTGTAATATGAAAAAAAAACCTTAAAAAAAGAGAAAAATATTTAATAAAAAATAAAAAAATAATTTAAAATTTTTAAAAAACTGAAAAATAATTACCATTTTTTTTTGTACTGTCACCAGTCCGTGTCCCTGATTACTGTCACACCAGTTATATGATGATGCTGTACTGCACTGGTGACAGTATGTAAAAAAAAGTGAAAATAATTTTTTAACTTCTTCATTTTCTAAAAAATGATGACACAAAAATTATAACTTCAAAAAACTCAGCATGCCTCTTATGAAATATGTCGGACTGTCTACTTTGCAAAAAGCGTTCATTTGTGGGATATCTGTACTGTTCTGACATTTTTGGGCCTCAAGAAATTATGTTGGCCGTCAATACTTCAGGATTGATCAATTTTCAGATATATCGCATAGTTTGTAAACTCTATAACTTTCCTACAGACTAAATAATAAACACTGATTTGGGTTATTCACACCAAAGAAATGTAGCAGAATACATCTTGGCCTAAATTTATGAAGAACAATTACTTATTTGCAAACTTTTATAATTTTCGGTCTTTTTTTGTTAACTTAGCAAAAGTAGTGATTAACCTCCCTGGCGGTATGATTATTTCAGATTTATGGTGCTGAAAGCGGTACCATTTTTTTGCATGGAAATATGTATTTTTTTTTATTGTAGGCCTGTAATTTAGGAATAATTCACTGAAATCTGTCCGAACAAGAGTCTAGTAAACATTCCAGATATGATAAAACTTGAAACACAAAATCATAAATTATAATTTAATAAATAATCAGAAAAAATAATAATATAATAATAATTAATTTATTTAAATAATATAATTAAACCAAAAACACTGAAATTTGAAATATAGCGCCAAGTTCGCACATCGCTGAGCAAAGTCGCAGAATCGTTTTCAGTGTCTGATAGCGAATTTCCCCACAAATCATTATCACTCAATTCTGCAAATGGTTCTGATTTACCATCGCTGTTTTCTAGCCTGTCTAAAATCGATTTTGACATAAAGGGACGCTTTTTGGACCCCATGGACTTTTCTAAGTTTCCAGGCAGAAAGAACAGTCAAAATGCAGGCAGGGCACAGGACAAAGCAGTAGGGACAAAATGTATGCGAAATGTTTTTAAACAGCAATGTTTTACTATGTAATAATCATTTTTAAAAAAAATGACATTTTTTTAAAAATTTCAAATTTGCCGCCGGTTCCGGCGCCTGTACGTCCCGACGTCACAGGGACCGGAACACAGGAAGCCGGATGCCGGCATCGGCCGGAGGAGATGGCCGGGGACGCTGCAGGGGAGCGAAGGACAAGGTAAGTGCTGCAGGGAATCCCTATGCAACGCTGCATGGTAAGCCTGAGTGTAGCTCGGGGTTACCGCTTTTGGTACTGAAACTTTACCCCGAGCTACACTCAGGAATACCGCTAGGGAGGTTAAATACCACCAAAAGAAATCTCTAGTTGTGTGAACAAAATGATAAAATTTTAGTTTGGGTACAGTGTTGCATGACAACGCAATTGTCATTCAAATTGTGAGTGCGCTGAAACCTGAAAATTGGCCTGGGCAGGAAGGGGGTAAAAGTGCCCTGTATGGAAGTAGTTAAACCTCAAGGGGATCCTGTGCACATAGCACTTTCCCCATCTAAATCCATGACAGAGTGGCTGAGCCATAGTATTGGGAAGCTAGCCCTGGCAATCTTCCTATCTTTCCTAAAACACAAATAAACTGAGATGGATTTCTAAGTGACAGCATAGGACAGTAGGGGTGTGCCAGGTAGCACACACAGAGCTCGCACAACCCTTTGACTCCACTTTCTCCTAAGCTGTCTGTCATAGCATCACTGCCCTGTCTTCTCATCTCTCTTTTCTAGTATACACAGGGTCTGGACCTTCAACCTGCCATTCAGGGCAGGACGAGAGTGAAAATTTTCAGCTTGTATTGTGAATGATTGTAGCACAAGAAACACAATCTGCCAATATTACAAGCCAGGCACTACACTAGGTTGTTTCCAGGGGAGGACTGACCATTTGGAAACTCTGGCACTGACCGAGGGCCCGGGGTCAGTAGGGGGGCCCCATGAGATGCCCCTGGTACCTTTTTCATAGGTTTTTTTGAGTTTGGGCAAGGACACAGGGGCCCCATGATCCCCTATTGCCTGGGGGCCCCATGAGTTGTCAGTCCTCCCCTGATTGTTTCAGACTTGGAATCAGATTGTGTTTTTGCAAATAAAAGTGCTCTTCTAAAGCTGCAATAATTAACTATACAAGCAGACAGTTTCCACCCTCTCCCTGCCCTGAATAGGCAGCAGCTTCAGACTCTGTGTAAGCTAGAGAAAAGAGATAGCAATTGCAGAATGGAGAGGGCATGGGGTTCAGTGCTGGCTGTAACCCCCTCCATGGAAACCCCTATATGTTTCAGGAAGGGTGGAGATACAACCAGAAATGACAGAAAAGAAAGATTAATTTTATTGAACATCCACCGATCGTATCTTAATATGGACAGGATTCCCTGGGGGGATTTAACAATATTTTTTTCTGCTGATAGATCTTCTTAGGTTTTCCTCAAAGCCTACCTGTAAAGGAGGACTGTACTCACCTTTCCTGTGATTCATGCTGCCATTCCCCCAAGCTATCACTGATTATACCTCCTGACCTCTACATCACTTCTGTTTCCTTTGGGGTCAACAGGAGGAACCAGTGAGAACTGCAGAGGGCCATAAGGATTGAAATTACCAATAGTGTAGGTTTCATGTATAATCACGTATAGAGACAGGGATGCGTTACGCAGAAGATTGAGAAATTTTGAAAGAAATATGCATGAGAAAGATGTAATGACTTATGGTTGATGTTGGCTTGCTTAGAGAGAAAAATTGTGAAGGACCCATTTAATCAAGGACACACTATTTTCTTAGATTCAGTCTTTCTCAGAAAAAGATTTATTTGTGTCTTTGTCACCCTGATGAGATTCTTTGCTTGTAATGTGACAGATCTAAGTACTGAAAGTGATAATCACATAGTATAGAAGTTTACAGCCAAGCAGTAACAAAAGACTGTGTTTGTAATTAAAGTTCCTGGCATGGGTTTAAAAAAATCTAGAATGGTTAAACTCACAGTATAATCCAGCTAAATAGCTGTTTAGTGTATGAGCTCATAGCCTTGGCCATAGCAATAGGCAGAAATGATTGCATCAATTCATAAGTCATGAACAAATTAGGCAAAACGTGAATGTAGATTTCTGCAATAGTACCCAAGACATTACATAGGAAAATGATTTACATGAATCTACATAGATCACTCCAATCTGGATTCAGATATTTATTGTTATATGTGAATTACCAGTGACAAAGAGGGATCATCCAGTTAGGCCTACTTTTGTTAATTGTTTCAATGGACTAATGCCAGCAATGTGACTGGAAGCTGTCGCTGGATTTCTATTTTTCTACTTTCATTGTTTAGTTCTATTTCTTTCTCTATGGAAAAATCAACTGCGCCATTTTACTATTTAAAATGTGTTATGTGCCAATGCTTAATATTCAAGTGTATTTACACCCAAAGCAAAAATGTAATGTTTTGCAGACTAACAGTCCTTTGATGTACAGTAGTTGCTGCATTAGGTTTCTTTTTTAGACTGTTTTTCTTTTGTTTTCACCTGTTGATACCATCAGTAACACCCTTTCTGTTATAGAATGACAATGCTCATGTACCAAGCCGTAACTGTGGCAGAGAAGAGTTGTCACCCTAGGACAGGGCTACAGAACACCTCTCTCTTTCTTTTTTGTAATATAGAATGAATATATTTTGTAATCCACAGAGATAGCTGGGAACACTCCTTTAAGTTATAAACATTATCTTACTAGTGGATTAAACTGTAATTTTTTTTTTACTTTAAATGTACACATTCAGGGAGTTTATGTCTTACTCGCATTAGAATTAGGAGATTGCAGATGATACAAAAGTATAAATTGGCCAGCAGCACAACAATATTGAATAATAATTTTAGGCCTAGATTTGCTAGAGATTGGGGGGGGGGGTTATTTACTAAAACTGGAGCTTGCAAAATTTGGTGCATAGAAACAGGGCAGACTGACAACTCATTGGGCCCCCGGGCAATAGGGGATCATGGGGCCCCTGTGTCCTTCCGGGTGAGGGAACCGCAGGGAAATCAGATGGTTTGAAAGCACCATGCAATTTCCCTTCTGCTGCATTTTAAAAATGGTGCAGGAACTTTTTCCCTGCATGAAACCCAGGCACAAAATGAATGGGCTGTTGTGCCCATGGAAACGAGGCTCGCAGAGCCTCAAGATTGTGGACCAGGCCTAAGTACTTTCGTTTTTCATCCAGTAAAAGTCCACTTCATTTCCTTTTGTGACTATACAGATCTTGGAACATACCTACTAGTGATGCTTGAACACTCTTCCCACAAACAGAAAGCCTGAGAATAGAAAAAAGTTGGTTTTAATATGGCTCTCACAGCCACGAATCAGATTCAGACTAACTTTATAAGTTAATTTGTCAACAATAATAAGCAGAAAAACAAAATAGATATGTACTGTAAATGTTACAATACAATGTACAAATCAGAATAGTCATGCAGTTGATGGTTACTGTATATTCTAAAAGTAGTTCTAGGTGATAATGGGCATCATGGGTCATAATATATTTGGCCATATACACATGTGGCTATACCTTATTCCATCTTATCACTATTTTTATTGTCCTGTGGATTACGTCATTTGTACTGGGTGGAGGGTGATAGTAATAGGCATGCAATAGGTACTTAGATTTTCAGATGCTGTTATCATGTGAAGGTGTTCAAGCTTATTCAGACATGAAGAGAGATGTCACCACTGCAAGCCTGTATCAGATAACCTTTCTCCTGAAAGCCCAAGTCCTGGCCAAAGGGAGCATCACCTTATAAACTCAATAGCAAATCAGAAAGTGGTACATGGATGACATCAGATCTCCTCCAACTGTAATAAACCCAAACATAGCATACTTCAGTCTCCTTATATGACCACCCTGCTCTAATATTCACACAATAGTTGCTTCCTCTGTATGTGACTTCTTGTTTTGAATATAATATTTTTTTTACACATTTAAACAGAAATTGATAGGGCAGGTATCCTATATATAAGCCAGTCTGCAGATAGTATTCTGTAAGATAAAAAGTCAGATATGTGTACCTTAAAGCCCAACTCTAGAGTAATATTAAGTTCCTTTAGAGGTATACAAAACACAATACTCATTGTCCTCCAGTCAATATCATCATGCTAGTATCACTCTTTGCATCAGGACTCTTTGATGACCAACCCCGTGTCTTAAGACACCTGAAAAAGCTAACAATAAAAAAGGCATAAAATATTTCAAAGGGGCCTTATAGAGGAGGGTGTGGAACCAGAGTTTGGCTTTAAATGATATAGGGTTTCTAAGTAATGATTTGTACATAGGACCCTGTTTTAACTATACATAGTGCAAAATAATGCAGTTTGATTTTTTTGTTTCATTTCGTGATACTTTTGTATTATTGTTTCTGTGTCATCCACTTACATTTACCAGTTTGGAATAACAGGGAAATATATACACTTTAATTGAATTTCTTTCTTGAAAACTAATGTGGAAATTTCAAAGAATGTCTAATACAGTATTCTGTGAAAACAGTTAAAGGCCATCTGCTCCCTTAGACATATGTCTACAATCTGTAATATTAAATGCATAAGAATCCACATAGACTAACATAATGTACAGAAATTCTCCACAATGGCTCAGGAAGGAGATAGTGAACCTTCCTTTTTAGAATGAACTCAAGATTATTGATCTAAAAAAATAGTATGAGATTAGTCACTGGGGCCTTTCTTGGTGTCCTAAGAGAAATCCCCTTCCGTGCTTTCATCTCCTCTTCTAAAATGCCTATGTACTTCAATTTGTTAAAAGCATTTCTGATTTATGGAGGTCTCTGCAGAATCAGCATCCCAAGTACCAGCAGTTCATAGCTACAAGCAGATTATGAAGCATGAAGAGAAAATAGGTTCATTAAGTTTAAACAGTAATCATAAAGCCAAACTTCTCTACTTTACTTTTTAATATAATAAAAACAAAAAAACAAAAACAGAGCTACATGACCTATGAGGCTATGTACTGTAATTGCAAAGTGAGCTTATTAACTCATCTAGTAGCATTCAACGTTTTAAGAAAATGGCTTAATGCACCCACCAGATTCCTATTTCTGGAGGTTGCAAAACTGATTTTATAATTTTATAATAGGTATACCCCCCAAAAAAATAGGCAGTAAGCAGAGTGATAAGGTTAGTTTGGTTTGGATGCAGAATGCTGAGTTCTCCTGGATATAGCCATGTACGACCAAATGGCTTTAAATCTAAAGTTCAGGAAAACCACTAAACACATAGTTAAAATACAAATTTAAGAGACATTGTACCTCTGAAAGGATTTGTATTTCTGTACATCTTTTCCTTAGCTCTACACAGCTTCTCCACACTGCACAGCCAGCCTACAGACTTGATTTTTTACTGCAGTTAAGTAATAAAACTAGATCTTGTTTTCTGCCCCTGGCCTGTGAATGGATATTGAAGGATAAACAGCAGGTTTTGTCTGGAACTCTGCTCTCCCCTTCTCTCAGCAAGTTTTTTATTAGCACTGTGCTTGGCTCTTTGTGCTGCCTCCCCCTTTCTCTCAGCCTGAGTTTTGCTGTACAGAAACCGACGGCATCTAATATAAAAGTCAAATTCCTATACTAATACAAGTTGTTTTAAAAAAACAAACTTACTGATTGATGAACATGTATCTCCATGACTGGTGTGTTTTTCCTTCTACCTGGAGTTCAGCTGTAAAGCCATCTTGAAGGTTTAGTCACGCTTGATTGAAAATGCTGTACTTTTCTCTGTGGTGCAGGATCAATGGAAACCATTTTTTCATAATTAAGTACTGGAAAGTACATTGATTTCCATTAACATTATCTTGCAAAACCATTCCGCAAATGTTTAATCCCTGCATTAATCAAGATAATTATGTTGATAATCGATTCTTAATAAATCTATAGCTGCAGTAGATTATTTCTTCTGCATACATAGAATAGTAGGTTTTTTGTTTTAGATTATTTGGGGAATTGATTTTTTTTATGAGTGGCTGTAAATCAGGGTTTTTAGATTGTTTATTTGGCATGTTTCAATTTACCTTGAATTTTAATATGTGTCATAAAAGACAGACATGAATGTGATTTAGCAAAACAGGAAGGTTCAAGTATAGTAATAGCAGTGTTTTTTGATTAATAGAAGTCAGGAACCAGATGGGGATGTAAGTGCATCAATGAAAAAAACTACATTTCATTCAAGGATAAGCAAACTGTCAACCAAAGCTAGAAAAATTCCACTTTGCATTAAAAGGGCTATAGAACATTATGTTACTTTTTTTTTTTTTTACAAACCATAATAAAATCGTGTTTAGAATATTCTAATTTGTTTGTTAACCAATTTGAAAAAGAATGTACTGGAACCTACACTGACAAATGGTATAAACAAAGTGGCTTCTATGTCCACCAGAAAGAAAGTAAATCATTTTGACTGCCAAATGGTTGTGGCTTTGTGGTGTTGGGTTATATCATCAAATGGTGCAAATAGTGTTGTAGGCTGATTCGGTGACAATCACTTCTAAGACACTTGGTTAATTCATCCATAAAGCTTTTTCTGATTTCTTTAAAGTGTAAGTACCTCCTAGCCTGAGCAGCCACATTCTCTGTGATGAAAAGAGATAAATTAAATGGATAGTTTTAATTTCTCTGAAATTAGAGTAAAACTCAAAGATTTCTGTGAAATTACATCATTATGGAAAAATGTATTGGAGTCCATGGGAAATCAAACCCCCTTTTCCTTTAGCCAGTATGAATGTATTGTTTAAATGTTCTACCTCATTATTATTTTCATTAATGGCTCCCATGACCTCTCCTTTCCTGTGTTCTAAAACGCTTTTTGGTTCCTCCTGGATGCGGTTTTATGGTTTATGGTGTTAGCGGCACCCAGCAGACGATAACCCCTGACTTCCTACTTGTCCCTTCAAAATCCTATGCATGGCAGGGGGCTCAGTGGCAGTATGCTCCCACCACTTACTGTCTACGTATCTGTCTACGTAAAAACTTCTTTAGTCACATGCCCAAGAAAGATTATTAGAAACAGGAACACGCAGCTGGTTAGAAGGAAGGAGGTGTGTGCATAGAGGAAGGGGAAGCTGCCCAGATGAAAGGAACCCTTGTTTCCTCTCCAGTTTTCCTGTTGGAAATCAGATGCAGTTCTTGTCAGGCCAACACTGTCTCTGTGCCTCCCACACTGTGAGTCATCGCTGACAGACATTAAAAGGCCTTACCAGGAGCTGCATCAGAGGGCTGTGATATTGCAGGAGAGAGGAGGAGCCACAGCCGAGCTAGGGAATCCTGGCAGGTATCAAGGAACACTGTAGGCCAAGTAGAGAATATGACTAGAAAGGAAAAGTAGTGCATGTAAGAATTTGAAAAACTTTCAACCAGTTTTTTCTTCACTTGGTCACAGGGTCCTTTTAAGATGGTGTTTTGTGGTTTGTACTATTAAATGTATCTTTTGGGTTACAGTGGCTCATATTAGCTATCCTGGACCTGTTCAAAAATTGCCCTTTATAGGCCTTTTTTTTCACAGAAAGCAGAATAACAGACAGCAAAAAAAAGAAGTTAAACAACTCAAATGTGTCAAAACACAAAATACAATCAAGTATCAACACTCACAAAATAAAATTCTTGCAAAACTGGCATGTAAGGAGGGACATCATAAACAGAAACCTCCATGGTGACCACTAGCATGGACATCTGGCATATGCACCTCTCTAGAAACTAATTCTCCTGCGCTCTAGGACCCAGGTGGGTGGCGAATGGATGGAACCAGAACTGGAAAAACGACCACCAGTGCATAAGAGTTGTGCAGCTCCAAACAAGGCTGGGGAAGCCCGACCAATACTGCAAAGCGAAACAAAAACGAGAAGCGCACCAACCTTGTGCATTACCTCAGTAACCAAAATTTATTAATTACAAAATGATACTCACAAACAGCAAAAAATAAAATCAGGCATGTAAGTCCTCAGAGAGACTTGAAAGATAAGGAGCCAGTGT